CCCCTAATTCTCAGCTCTGAGCTGCAGAGACGGGGACCCCCAGGGATGGGGGACCAACAGGGATGGGGATGAACAGAGCTGGGGATAGCAGGGATGGGACCCCTAGAAATGGGGATTTGGGGACCCCCAGGGACAGAGACCCCCAGGGATGGGGAGCCAGAGATGTAGACCACAATAGATGGGGACCCACAGGGATGGAGACCCCCAGAGATGGGGATACCCAGGGGCAGGGACCCCCAGAAATGGGGATCAACAGGGATGGGACCCCCAGGGATGGGGATCTTCAGAGATGGGGAGCCTGGGGTGTTGGAGACCCCCAGGGATGGGGAGACTCAGAGATGGGGACACCCAGGGACAGGGACCCCCAGAGATGGGGAGACTCAGAGATGGAACCCCCAGGAACTGGGACCCCCAGGGATGGGGATCAACAGAGATGGGGATACCGAGGGACAGGGACCCCCAGAGATGGGGACTCCTGGAGGTGGAGACCCCCAGGGATGGGGAGACTCAGAGATCGAACCCCAGAGATAGAGACCCCCAGGGATGGGGACCAAGAGAGATAAGAACCCCCAGGGATGCAGACCCCGAGAGGTGGGGGCTACCAGACACAGGGACCCCCAGGGATGGGGAAACTCAGAGATGGGGACACCCAGGAACAGTGACCCCCAAAGATGGGGACCTCTGGGGGTAACTGTGAAGATGAGGATGGCTGTGAAGATGAGGATGGCTGTGAAGATGAGGATGGCTGTGAGGATGAGGATGGCTCTGACGATGAGGATGGCTGTGATGATGAGGACGGCTGTGAAGTGAGGATGGCCATGAAGATGAGGATGCCTGTGAAGATGAGGATGGCTGTAAGGTGAGGATGGCTGTGAGGATGAGGATGGCTGTGAGGATGAGGATGGTTGTGAAGTGAGGATGGCTGTGAGGATGAGGATGGCTGTGAAGGTGAGGATGGCTGTGAAGTGAGGATGGCTGTGAGGATGAGGATGGCTTTGAAGGTGAGGATGGCTGTGAAGGTGAGGATGGCTGTGATGATGAGGATGGCTGTGAGGATGAGGATGGCTGTGAAGTGAGGATGGCTGTGAGGATGAGGATGGCTGTGAAGTGAGGATGGCTGTGAAGTGAGGATGGCTGTGAGGATGAGGATGGCTGTGAAGTGAGGATGG